GAAGGTTCGGGCCACCCTTTGGCAGCCAATGGACCTGAGGCGAAAACCGCAAAATGCCTGTTCACTGGGAACAGATTTTGCCAAATCTCGTTAAGGCTGCCCCTAGTGCTCCTACGAAAGGGAAACATTGACACTGCTGGTCTTGTTTTGGTTTTGGAGTGAGGTTTTGGTTGCTTTTTCACCCTGTCCTTTTAGCCGCCAGATACGTAAAAGCTGCTGGCGTATATGAGAAGTCCGACACTGTCGGACTATTGGCACAAGTGATAACCCCAGGCACCGTCCACTTAAAATATCACGAAGTCAAGCACATGGAGCTCTTCACTCTGTGTTTCACATTCGATGGGTAAATGTTCAGCTCACATCTTTTGAGGTTCACTGACAGTCTTAGAGGGATGCAACCTGCGATATTTTAGCTCATATTTGTGGATACTTGGGTAAATCGTGATAAACAGTAGCGATGTGGCTTAAAACTTTTATTTTATACACCGTAACCAAGGTAAAATAACTCACGAATCCACGGGGTGATACACAGGATCGAGGATTCTGCCCAAGTTTCCCGGGTCAGTTTTGTTCTAGCCGTTCAGCGGCTGTCGTTCACCTGAAGCGGCTGCCATTCACCAAATATGTACAAACGGAAGCCAAGGATGATTTCAAAGGAGCAGCTTTCCTTGGCTGAATTTGAATAACACTTCCAGTGACGCAATCACCTGTTAGGCCTGCAAGGTATAGTGGATGACTGGTCAGGTCCATGTGAAATTAGTTCTCGAAAATGCTCCAAATCATTCACTTCCCAAGAAAGGTACGGTAGAAGTGAACTCCGTATTCCAGGCACAACATATCATTTTCAGCAGGCCATGTTCAACGGAATTAAAACCGGATACACAGGTCGAGGATTCTGCCCAAGTTTCCCGGGTAAGTTTTGTTCTAGCCGTTCAGCGGCTGTCGTTCACCTGAAGCGGCTGCCATTCACCAAATATGTACAAACGGAAGCCAAGGATGATTTCAAAGGAGCAGCTTTCCTTGGCTGAATTTGAATAACACTTCCAGTGACGCAATCACCTGTTAGGCCTGCAAGGTATAGTGGATGACTGGTCAGGTCCATGTGAAATTAGTTCTCGAAAATGCTCCAAATCATTCACTTCCCAAGAAAGGTACGGTAGAAGTGAACTCCGTATTCCAGGCACAACATATCATTTTCAGCAGGCCATGTTCAACGGAATTAAAACCGGAAGTGCTCTTTAATCGGAATCTCTGTCATTATCAAAGATAAGCTAAGGCATAGTGACATTTTCAGTCCATGTCAATGACTTTCCTCATGGTTCAGGTCTGCAAGACATGACAGTGGAAATTTTTAATCCGATTGACAACACATTTTAATCACAATAAGACAGAAGCAGAGTGCGACTGATCAACGTCAATGGAATAGGGGCATCACAATCACGGAATAGAAATGAATTTGCTTTGCACTGTAAGTGTACTTTGATGAAGGGTATCTTGTTGGAGTAAGGCCTGGAACCAGACAACTGGGAGAATTTAGGCAAAGTAAATGTCAGGCGAACTAGTGGCGTTACGTTAAAATATTTGAACCCTTCTCTTACCTTTGATGACTCGCCGAAATGGGTGATGTTCACTCCCCAGCCTACCGACCATCCGATATGTACCGGTGTGTAACAAAGATGAGTCAAATTTTTGCTGGAGAAAAGCATTCTCAACGTGGATGTTCGGAGGCGGAACCTCGGGAATAACCGAGCAGACTGATGTGTTGCGTCTGTGGTGTTTTGTACCTTTATTTTGCTTTCATTATAACACTACGCATTTCGTCAATTGCGTAATCCCTTTTTGTTTGAATACGAAAAACCACAAAAACGTGCATTTGTACAAGAATACGTGATACAAACGTAGTCACGTGCTTCGACTCTCTTCCGTTCCGATTTCGCTCCCGCTTGCATCGGTCATTCGCGAGTCTCAAGTGCTAACTCTGGTATCAACGCATTTCAGACCATCATCGGAATCTATTAAATGTGGGGACTGTTCAGAAAAAGACCCCTAGACCACCAAAATTGGATTATTGTTTATTCGCTGACCCGGGCCAACGGCGAATTATTTTAAAGAGAAGAATTATTAGTGAATCTGTTCCATCTGACCTCTTTATAATTGTATACCCAATCTAGCGTTGTTATTTTCATTTCTTTATCACACTCCTGGTAAAGTAACTTATTCGTAGCCAGACCACTGCACGTCCCGGCCTCGAGCCTCATAAATTCATGACGTGATTGGTTAGAATATGGGCCAATCAAAGACGAGAACGAGCTAGGCGCTGTTTGTCCCGTCACGATGTTTCAGACATGGCCCTGTGGGTGATTCTGCGACCGCTTTATAGATATGATCATAGCAATCTTTCTATCTTCATTAGGAGCCAACCTAGCCTCGTTCTTATAATAACACGTAGAAATAATAAGACCGAACTCAATATAGGGATTTTCTGAACTTCTGTGTATCAACGACAATCGGCGGTTATTTTTCACAGTTGTTTGACTCCTCACGAGTAATGTGACTTGTCTATTTAAAATAACGCCGCTCTGGTCCCTCGGCGCCCGTTCCTGGGTTTATTTCTGCAGAAGTTTTGCTCACTTTCGACCTTCTCTTGCAATATGGGAGCCAGATAGCCCAAGTGGTAAGAGCGCGAATTTACGGACCGGGAGATCCGTGGTTCGAACCCCACCTCCGCCTCTCGACTTCCCCTGTCTAGGCTTGGGCAGCCTGGCAATATCCCAGCCCTCGTGCTTCCTTCGAATGGCATGACACCTAGGCACCGGAAGAGAGCTACAGCTGAACGCTTTGCTTGCAATTGTGATTCTGCTCTGACGAAAGAGTGCTAGCCCTTGGATCGAACTCGGATACTCGAATAGCATGTGAGCGCATCAGCTCTACTTCCGTGGCGGCCCTATTTAATGTATTACTCTTGTCTTGCATCTTACTTCATAGTGCTTATCCATGTTTTGGTTCGTACGGGCCTAAGTGCGCATTTCGTTTCGGCACGTGGCGCTTTGCTGGTTTATCGCATTGTCAGCTAAAGGCGACAGATTGTTTCCGTTCCTTTTTGAATCAGAAAATACTAACCGAAAATACTAACCGTCTTTTCGCCCTTTCCCCTGTATATTGCTTATTTACACCGCCTGACCACCTGTATCCATACCCCTGCTGCCTCCTGCTGGTTGCACTATTTTTTAAGAAGTTGTCAGTGCAGTATTCACTGTCCTTATCCGTCTGTTTGTACTGGCTAATGAATGCGATCCGCGTATAGTGCGGCAGTTCCAATTGTCCTGTGGGAACCTCAGGCACCCGGATCTTTCAAAGTTAATCAACGCCATTGTATCCCGACCTAAAGCTGCCACCTTCATGTGGTAGTCGGGCTTGAGTGCTGCAATGATCCCGCAGGCTATAGTGGCTGGGACTTCGTTCTAAAAGGTGTAACCATGCCGGGAAGGTCAAGGGGAGCGCTCACACCAAGAGCGAGACCCCGTACTATGAGTAATCGCGCTACGATGCGGTCTAGGAGTTAAGTTTTACTTCTTTCCTCTGCGATAGAGGTGTGAAGGCAGTAAGATGCTACCCCCAGGCGATCAACATGTTCATATTCATGGAAGCGGCGATGCTTCCTCCTCTGAGGAAGGACAGGTTAGAAGGAGTTGGCCCTAAAAACTGCACACTCCAATCGCCCAACAGTTGGTCGTGACCGCCGGCGAGAGTCACATGCTGCTCACAAGACACCTGTGCGCAGCTTCACTAAGAGTGAGACAGTAATACCTCACTTTCTGCGTCCTCTGGCCTGCCCCCTGCAGCCAAGTGGCTCCGGGAAGGACTCTCCAAGAAAACCCTAAGAGCCGCTGCCTCTCTTTCATACTTTTGAGTCAGAGACTAGGACAATGGTCCCCGAACTGCCTCCTACTGCCTTGTGGGTCAGACTTTTTAATCAAAGGCTCAAAGTGGGGTACCTCGACCAAACCGACTTCAGCTTGGGTGATCGCGTAATGCCACTCGCCCTTTCAGCTCTTCGATCACTGGCCTTCCTCGACATCTCTTCTCCATCCATCGAATGATGTAGTGCGATCTACCCGCTTGCCAGTCCTCTGGTCATTGTTCTGTGTCTGAATCATCGTCCAGAAAAATGAACCAAAATAATCACTTACCTGCCTCCAGAGGTCTGATTCACGTTACAGGCTTTGGTGCCTGTACTCTACGTCAAATCATGCAACCGACGTCTTGCTAGAGCCTTGCTTTCTCTATCTGTCGATGTATGCTGTGTCTCCGAAACACGCATACTAGATCCCTCTTCGGTCGTTCACCTCAAGCCGATAGGACGAGCTCAGATGTTCCACATTTCACTCTTCGGGTGTCTGGTGATCCTGACGCAATGGATTGTGGTATGTGTGGTGTGAGAATCTCACTCAGCTCCAAGGCTAATAAAAGCGCCTTGCTGGGCTGGATCCCAGTTAGCGATCATCCTTGTGCTGTGCATTTCCCGCGAAACCAATATCAATGCAGGTTGATGTGGTAAACGATATATTTTGTCGTTGTTGTGTTGGCGTATAGTCCGACAGACTTGTATTCGTGCTAGCTGCGTTGTTTAGGAGACTGATGGAACTTATTCTATCCAAATACTTGAGTGGGATATTTCAAGGAAAAAGGGAAACCACCATCATCATTGTCAGCTGTAATAACGGGGGGGGGGTAGGTAGCTGCGCATTGGAGGCGGGAGCTGGTAAATTAGTGCGTAAATACAACACTGCCAGTGGACTGTTGAGTTAGGGAATGGAATAGGGAGCTATGCATTATTATCAATAGCTTAGACGCACGAGCGCCATTGAGAGCGCGACTGAGCAATGTCTGACAATGTCTCTAACCATTGATGTGGTCCGTCTCGGGTCCCCATCCGGGAAGACGGCAATGACCAGCACAGCTGGGTTTGCTGCTAATGGCTTTTACACTTCGTTACCAAGTCATTGTTTGACCGTCTCTGGGTCTCTTCCACCCTTCACTGAAAGCCGTTTGACGTCCTCGGCGCGCAGCGTCCATGTTTCTGATCCATATAGTAATATGGAGCGCACAGCAGCATTGTAAAGTCTACCCTTGACAAAGAAGCTGTCACGCCTATGCCACAGGTGACGTAGGTTCGAAAAAG